AGTCTCTTCTTGAAACCCAAAAAAAATTTTGGTATTTTCAATTTGGAAAATGTACATAACGAATTTTTTTATTAAAAACGCGCGCCAACTCCACAGTGGGAAAAAGTTAATTGTTGTAGAAAATTCAGTTTAGAGGTTACAAATATTATTTGTTTTCAATTTTTTTTTTAAATGAAAGTTTGTAAAATTGCGCACCGATCTGTGGCGGTAGAATTTCGAAAACTGTTAACTAATTTTTTTTATTTAACAATATATATATGAACAAAAGAGAAAAAAAATTCTAAAATATTAGTTAACAAATGCGTAGCATTAATATTTTTTAAAGTTAAGATATCAGATTTAATCTGATCGGTCCACAATTTTATAAACTTTCATTTAAAAAAAAAATTATTAAAAGCAAATAATATTTGTAACTTCTAGACTGAATTTTCCACGACAATCAAATTTTTCCCATTGTGGAGTTTTTTTTGGGTTTCAAGAAGAAACTACTGAGTATACTTCCTATGAGTTTCATTGCAACAGGAGCGGTAGAAAACATAAATAATTTAAATTGTTTATAAATATGTTATTAAAAATATGGAATTTTTAAATTTACAATCATGCAAATATTTTCTTTTAATAGAGTGAACATATTTGTGTAAATAGTGTATGTTTCATTAATTTATTGTAAACGGCTTTTGAGTTATTAATTTTTTTTTAAATTTTGTAATATTTTGTTAATGCAAAAAAAAATAACAAAAATTTTAAATTTTAAAAAAACGGTTATAAGTGTTTTATTGTTTTGTTGTGAACTACAGATTTTCATAAAAGTTTTAACATGTTAGAAAATCAACGAATTATTTTAACACAGTTGAGCTGGTCTGACCTAGTCATTTTGCGAATTTTAATTTTTACGAATTTTCTGTTTTTTATTTCGCTTAATGTTATTTTTTGCAAATATTTTCAAAAAATTACAAAGCGGTCAAATGACATTTGAGCAAAAATTTATTAAATATTTAATTAATATTTTTAACATAATAGCATATATTGCAAATCTTTATAAATATTTTAATTTCTGCTTGTATTTTTATAGGTACTTACAAAAATTATAATATTTTACATAAACTTACGTTTTTCAAAGTTGCAGTTTATATAGACAGGTCGAAAAATATTTCTCACGTCGATTCGATAGCCGCGGTCGTTAAGCGTTTAGATAGATAGGTCATAGGTGCGGGGTTTGATTCCCATAAGGTATAAGTTTTAATTTAATTCTTCCAGTTTAATTAAAATGTTTGTATGTTTGGAGTGTGCTAAGAATATAATGTTATTAGTGGTCATAAGAATCTTTTATTATTTTTTCCACAAATATTTTTTTAGAAAACGTATGTTTTCAATTGTAACCACCTTGGATACAATAGGAAAGAACTTTCTGTCATTTTTCGATATAGGATTTGATAGAATTTAAATCAAAAAAAAAAAACGACGTTTTCTATATAGTTAAAGAGTGTCTTTGTTAAACTATAAAAGACTTAGATCAATAAAATTTACATGGATCGTAAAAAAATTCTACAAAGAAGCTAAATTTTGAGGCATGTATAGTGGTATGAACCCTTTATTAACAAAATATGACTTTCGTTTTCGACCAATCACTGTTTCTGAAAATGATGACCGTTAGCGGATTGATCGGAAAGTGAATGTGAATAAAAATAGAGAAGGCATCACTAAATATTTATTCACAATCTGTACCTATACATATTTTGATTTTTAGTCAAAATGGTCAAAATTACGTACTTTACGGACCTTTTGTCAAAATTACGTACTTTTAGGTACCAAATTCAAAATTACATACTTTTCCTTAATTTATTTACTCGGTTCGAGGCCTGTATTTATTAATAGCTACTATTTTTATAAATAATAAGTTACTATATGAGCGGATGGGAAGAAGAACTCGCTGAGCGCGCGACCGAAAGGGCTATCCCTTTCCAGTCAGGTATAGCAGTGTGTGGACCAGAGGCGCTCACTGCTACCTGACTGATATTATCCCTTACAACCGCACACTCGGCGAGTTCTTCTTCCCATCCGCTCATATTAATTCTTTTAAAAAGCTACTAATTAATTTCTTAAATCGAGATTTTAAATATATTAGTTTATTTAGCGAAGAAATTAATTCTAAGACCCTAAAAAATTGGAGAGGATAAAAATATTGAAAAGGAAAATAAATTAAAAATTAAAATCCATTTGGGTGATTCTACAAAAGAGGGAATTTTTATGTCTGAAGCATGTTTTGTATATTAATTTTGGAAAGAATAATTTTACTTTTAATGGAAATTGTAAATCTTAATGGTTTCTATTATGGCACAGAAAAAAACCGATGAAAAAGAATATGTTTTTGCAAAAAATACACATTATAGTGCTAAATTCTCATTCGTCTGGCATGTCCCTTTGGGAGAATGACAGTTCATATTGAGAATAAATATCACTTTTCAAATGTTTTGCGGAAAATTCATACTGAATTAGTAATTTTGAATAGTTGTAGATTACTAATATGGAAATAATTATGATGTTTCTCTATATCTTATTTATAAAATATCTTCGCGAAGTTTGTCCCCTGAATTTGTTATTATTCGTCTGGCAGTGCAAAAAATGTAAAAATTATTAAAAATCAACATTCTGATGAAGTGACTGTTCGTTGTAGTTGTTAATTAAACTAAACTAAATGTGATACCAATCGGATTTTATTGAATCTTCTAATCTATTAACCAAGATTTCTCAATTTGTAACAAAGATTGTGTTGTGACCAGACAAATTCTCATTCGTCTGGCATACATTTTTTAAAAAAATATTTTATTTTTCGGTTATTCTATAGACTTATGTTTTGTAGATTATTATTCTCTATAAGATAGTACTGAAGGATTTTTTTATTTAATGTTATTTTTCTATTTTTTAAACAAAAAATGCCAAATTCTCATTCGTCTGGTTCTCATTCGTCTGGCACTTTTGAGATAGGATGTATACTATATCACTAAAAATAGCGTAAAACTAACAATTTTCAACTATTGTTTGATTTTCTGGTCTTAAAATAATCCTAATTAAATTTACAAGAAATTGCTATAACTGAATTTTCAATTTTCATTTCGCATAATTATATTAACATAAACATACAAATGGAATAAGTATTTTTTTATATGAATAAAGTTTAGCCCACAAAAATCAAAGTAGTTCTTTATTATTAGACACTTGAACTTACTTTTACAATTCTATGATTTGTGAAATTGTGCTTATAGAAACAAATACACCATCCGTAATTTGTTAAAAACAATTATTAATTAAATTACAACAAAAATTAATTAAACCGATGATTTTTATTGATCCTCGTAAAAATCGTTACTTGGGGGTTTTCGGGGTTGCTGATTAAGAACCTAATGTCAGTTTTTTAAATTTTTCAAATTCAAAATGGCGGATCCAATATGGCCGATGATTTTGGAGAAACTCAACATATTCGTCTGAAAATCGTTACTCGGTGATTTTCTGTTTCGCTTATTACCAATCCGAGGTCAACTTTTTTCAAATTAACCATTGCTTTTACAATTTGTTTAAACAATTTAATTATGTTTTTTAGTTCTACTACTATATTTATAGTTCATAGATGTATAAAAATAAATAAATAAATTTTAAATAGTTTTTAATAATCATAATTAATTAATTAATTACAATTTATTATTATTATTATTAATTATTAATTAGTTAAAATAAATTAAATAAAAACAAATTAATAAATTATTAAAAAGTAAATTCAAAATTAAACTCAACGTTATAAAGTAGAGGTGTATTCAAAGTATTTAGTATTCGATTTTTTCGGGTACTCGATTTCTTTTCAGTCCTCGGAAATTTCCGTATGCATCAAGTATTCCGTATTTTAAATAATCTTGAACTATCTGATTCAAAAGTTGCGAAAATGGTGGTAAATCGTAAATTGTTAGTTCTAACTTTTCCTCTAGGTTAATAACTTATTTAACGTTTAAATATATTTTACAAAATCAAATTTAATAAAAATCGAACAATTTTTTTAAAATTCATTTAATTAGATTCTTAATCAGCGACTTCAAAAACCCCCGGGTAACGATTTTTAGACGAATACGATAAGTTTTTTTAAAAGTCGTGCGCCATATTGTATCCGCCATTTTGAATTTTGAAAAACTGACATTGGATTCTTAATCAGCAACCCCGTAAACCCCCGAGTAACCAATTTTATAAAAATCCATTCATTAATTTTTATGTTAATGTGAATTTTCTTGACACGATTTTAATTCTCTGGATAAATTGTTTATAAATAACCATAACTTTTGTAATTTTTAATATTTTGTCTGGCCACTTATGGATGTCTTTATTAGTACCATTAACTTGAAGTTAAAATACTTTTCAGAACTTAAATGAGAAAAAAATGTTGTGTCCAAATTTTCTTGATTTTCGTCCTTCGTTTGTAGAATCACCCATTTATATTAATTGTCAAACTCTCTAGATTCTGATTGTAAATAATTATAAAGTTATGAACAAATTAAGATTCAATATGGAGACGCTACTCTCCACTTGCGAACGTCAAGGTCACCGCTAGACGGCAGTTCAATTGTCAAAACCATATTCCACGCCATCTGGTGATGTTCTTCGGCGTTCTCAAGTGGAGAAATTCATTTTATCCCTCAAAAACTTATTATATAATAATAGAATACAAAAAAATGTTATTGTGAGAATAATAAGTAAATAAATAATTTTTTTTAATTCTAAATTCAGTCCGAGGCCTGATATATTAATAATTCATAAGAAGCTTGCTGCAACATTACTTGCTATCTATGGAAAGTATATGAGCGGATGGGAAGAAGAACTCGCCGAGCGCGCGACCGAAAGGGATAGTTCCAGTCAGGTAGCAGTGTGTGGCCCAGAGGCGCTCACTGCTACCTGACTGATTTTATCCCTTACAACCACGCGCTCGGCGAGTTCTTCTTCCCATCCGCTCATATATTTACATTTCGTGAACTTTGGTTTTCTCTCCTTGCAATTGTCCAATGACTGTTCCTCTATCGGTATTCATGCACCATCCAATTAAACCTAATTTTTTCCCCTCTCTTTGTGTATACTGTAAAAATAAAACAAAGTAATTTTTTTTAGCAAATATATATTTATTTTTTTAAAACTTTCCCTGCTTCAGATTAATATCGGAAATTACATTTTTAGGAACTACAACTGTAAGTACAATATTTTACATTTATTTTTAGTACACGCCCAATGGAAAACTGCCAAGAGTCACCATTGGCGCATTAATGGCCCAATATTGGGAGCCATTGATTTTCTATTGGTATATTATTGGCACCCATTAATGGACCGATAGTGGTAAAGTCATGGGCTGACTACGTCGTTGCCAATAATTGGCAGCCATCATTGGCACATTAATGGCTGTCAATAAAATGCCAATAATAAAAATTTTTTAAATTAACCAAAATTATTGATTAAAATTATAATTATTTAATTATAAAAATTAAAAATTGTTTATTAATTTTTTTTTAATTATTATATTTGTAAAAGAAAAAAGTCATCAAAATAATTAGTGAGATCTCTCTCTTTCAAAAAATTGCCTCACATCCTGTGCAAAAATAGGAGAGGCAGGGGGCAGAATTATATTCTACGAATGAACCTGAGGAGTTCAGCCTTTATATGTACGGGCTGGAGTAACTCAGATGCGAGTAGAACTGATGTTTGCTCGCCCTATGCGGCACGGTTGTAACTAAATTCTAAAGACAACGCGCACGTGCTCTCACGCAATGCGGGAACATTTGAATAATTTGAAATTATTTTACAATTCAAAATAATGATAAGAATTACTTAAAATTATGAAGATAACTAGAAAAAAACGCGCGTGTTCCATGTCAAAGATATTTAACAATAATATAATTAAGTATTAACATTCTTAATGTTTTATAAAATAAGAAGAATTTAATTTCTTTTTAAGTATTTCTTTAACACAAATAAAAAAAGAAAGAAAAATGCTCAATCTTCTTAAAAAAAATTCTAACTTAAAATTTTTAAAAAATAATGATTAATAAATTATTATTATGGGAATTAATAATAATATAATAATTTAAATTATAAATTTATTAATAATTAAATAATTAATTATTATAATATTAATTTCAAATTATTCAAATGTTCCCGCGTTGCGTGAGAACACGTACGCGTTGTCTTTATAATTTAGTTCCAACCGTGCCGCATAGGGCGAGCAAACATCAGTTCTACTCGCATCTGAGTTACTCCAGCCCGTAAATATAAACGCTGAACTCCTCAGGTCCATTCGTTGAATATAATTCTGTCCCCTGCCTCTCCTATTTTTGCACAGGATGTGAGGCAATTTTTTGAAAGAGAGAGATCTCACTAATTAGTGTGATGATTTTTTTCTTTTACAAATATAATAATTAAAAAAAATTAATAAACAATTTTTAATTTTTATAATTAAATAATTTTAATTAATAATTTTTGTTAATTTAAAAATTTTTTATTATTGGCGTTTTATTGGCAGCCATTAATGTGCCAATGATGGCTGCCAATTATTGGCAACGACGTAGTCAGCCCATGACTTTACCACTATTGGTCAATTAATGGGTGCCAATATTGGTATGCCTGGCTCCCATTATTGGGGCATTAATGCGCCAATGGTTTTTTTCCCATTGGGCGGAGAAAAATAAATAGTAATAATTATACTATTTTCGATGAAAAATTACTACTTTCAAGTAAGTAATTTTGAAACTGCTCGAAAAATATTAACTTTTGCTTCGTTTTCAAACAATATTTACTTTTTTAAAAAAGTATAATTTACTTCAAGGAATCTAAATTTTATTAAAAGCCGAGTAATATTTAAAATGTTTCGAGTAATTAATACTCTGAGCGAAGCAACTTTTATTACGAATCAGAGAAATTATTACTATTTCGTAAAGATTTTTACTCAAAAAAGTAGTAATCCGCACACGGAGAAAATTTGTTCCTTATATTTTACCGAATTTTTCAATAAAATTGGAATATAGTGGCATAATCGTAATTTTTAATAATTTTTAAATTATTTTTTCAGTAGAAATATTTAAAATTTAATGTGATATATTTATTCCTTACAAGATAGTACTGTAAAAGTTCAAAAAAAATTTAAACTGAACGTTTAATATAAATTAAATAAATACCTCCTTGATTAGTACGTTTCAGGAATAGTTCGGTAAAACTTTCTTGACTTGCATAAAGTGTTAGTTTTCAGGAATAGTTCGGTAAAACTTCCTTGACTTGACTAAAGTCAAATGAAAGACTTACCCACTGATAGCTGATTTTTTCAACTTATTTATAATTAATTAATAATCATTTCATTATTAATTAAATTAAAATTCAATTAATTAATTATTATTTTAAACACTTATTAATTGTCAAATATGTAATAAATGGTTTTAAATCATACAAAAAGAAAATATAAAACTGCAATAACATACTTATTTTTAAGCAAGAAGAAATTAAGTAAACAATTACACATAAGTAAGTAAGCAAATAAGTAGGTAAGGAAGTAAGTGTAACGTCCTGTAACGATGACGTCACTTTTAAAATATTTCGAATTTCTATATTTTATACAAAAACATATTTTCAGAAAAATATCTAAACTGAGAGAAGATAGTTGTAAGCCTAAAAATCAATACTCTAAAATTTTGAGTTTTAATCTTAGAGTATACTATCTTCGTCTCCACACACAAATAGAGATTTCTTGAAACTATGTTCTTTTAGTCTATACCGCTAAAAGAAAGATAAAATTCCTTTAAGATAAACCTTATATTTTTTACAACAGTCCCTTTTTACACAACTTCATCAAAATATGTTTTCATGAAAATAATATTAAATTCTTTTAAAATATATTCTATTTAAATTTAAATAATGTTAATAAAATTCAAAATGTCAAATTAATTAATTATTACTAATTAACAATAAAAATTATTAACAAAATAATTGTTTTTAACAAATTAAAAATATTTCTAACTATATAAAAATCGACATAAATTAATTAGTTAATTTTGATGTTTCGAATATTATAAACAAATAATTAACAATAAACAATTAACAACAATTAGAATTAATTGTTGAACAGTTAAAATATTAAAGTCCGAAATTATTAAATAACAATTTTGATTATTTGTTTTATTAATTAATAGAATGTTTAAACAAATTATCCAGTTTATTGTTAAATAAAATATTAATTAACAAATTATTATTATAACTATTAAGTAATAAAATAATAATCAGAATGTTATCGAATTAGTTAGAATAAATAGGTAATTATTGAAATCATTAATTTTATTGTTGTTATCTTTAATAATTATGAATGTTTAAACAAATTATTGACAATTAATATTTAAACATTGTATTAATTAACAAATTGATTTGATAATTATTTAATAACGTAAATATCATCGAATTATTTGTATTAACTAAATAATTAATAATTTCATAATTGTTAATAATAATAATTGCAATTGTTAAAATAATTATTATAAACAACCGTTTATTATTATGTTGAATATTTTAAATTTAGAAATATGTTAAAATTAAGAAAAAATGCTATTTCTGTAAATTCTAGAAATTGGAGTTGGAAGGGACCTAAAATTCGCCTATCAGGCCCATTTCTTAATGCATTTTCTCTCATTTTCTTTTTCTTAAACCAATCCAAAATTAACCAACCTCTTTTTCCCTTTCTACAATATTTTCATCCCCGAATTTTCCTCCCTTGAGAAAATCAGAAGTGGGAACTGTTACATAAATATACGTGTTCCTTAAGGAAAATTCAGAGCTCGAAAAGCTATCAACTCAAACTAGAGTTCTCGAACAGCTATCAATTAAACTTAGAGTCCTCTCAAGTTTAATTCTTCAAGTGTTCATTCAAATTTCAAGTCCTATTTCAAATTCGAATTCTATTTTTCAAAGTTCAAGTTCGTATTCAAGTTAAAATTCAAGTTTTATTCAAATTCAAGTTCTATTTCAAATTCAATTTCTATTTTTCAAGTTCAAGTTCTATTTCAAGTTTTATTTCAAATTTTAATTTAAAAATTATAAAAAGAATAACAAGTCAACATCTACAACTTCATCTCTGCTTCCAGTTCCAGTTCCAACTGAAATTCATCTTTAAAGTGTTATTAAAAAGTGAGTAACAAATTAATTTTGCTGTGTTCTTTCTTTTCCTACTTTCTTTAAAAATATTTTATTTTACAAAATTCCATACGTCTTATGTGAATGTATGGAATCGTTTCTACACGGAGAAAAAAATGCTGTTGAATCAATGACATATGGGTTTGATTCATTGAATAGTGTCATAACGGGCTGCCTAACGTATATGCTGTTGTTTTGAAAGCACCGATTCTAATGATTCGATAGTATCACTTTCTTTGAAACAAAAGCATATTTCTCAAATTGACAGCATACTATGTTAATTCGAAGGTGAATCCTTTTGAATGAATAAACAAAATTTTTTAATTTAACAGTATATGCTTTTGAGTCAATGACTATAACTTTTAAATTTAAAAGCATCATTTTTATGATTCAAAAATTTGTACTCTTAATTTTTTTAGTTGTTGCTATCGATTGAATAACACCATACTGTTAATTCAATTCTTTTATGTGGTTAAATATATACCAACGATAAATTGAAAAAAGGAAATTTTTGTTCACATGTTTTTTATATACTATAATTAATTCTCACACCTTTAACACAACACTTCTTATACACATCTTTTTTTCAATTTTACACACAAACATACACATTTTTATTATTTTTTTCATTTTTTTCCAACGGCTAAACACACACACATACACATTCAAACACACTTATCTTTTTTAGTCAGAAAAATGCGGCTATTCCCAAGCGGTCACCCATCCATTTAGTAACCGCGACCAACAACGCTTAATTTCCGTGATAGACGAGAACCGCCGCGCTGCAATGTAATACATCCGCTTCTCAACATTGGGCACTTACTTTGTGGTTAAATACCGTGCGCGAGATTTTTCGCGTATATAAGGGAATTTATATAGGGAATTTATATTTAACTAGTCATTAATTAATTAAAATAATTTAAATAACACTTTTTATGTAAGGTAAAGGAGAATGCTGGAAGTTCGTTCAAAGCCGAAAGGCAGGAACTATGTATAATAAATAATAAAATAAATAAATAACACTTTTTTATATTGGAATCTCAAAAACGACAGATTTAATAAACATATAAATATATGTGGGTTAGTATTTCAATAAATTTAGTACCTGACAAAGTCTCAAATACATAGTGTTCTTATTTTTATAGCATATGCTATAGGCAGTCCGCAATAGCACCACTCATTGAAACGAAAGCATATGCTTTCGTTTTCCAGAGCGCGCTTCTTTGGAGCAAACAATTTTTCATTTGATTTAAATTTACATGCATTTTCTTCAAATTTATCTATTAGATGCTTGAAATGAATAATGTCAAAGAAGCAATAAATTATTCTGTTGCTATATATAGATGAACTATAGAAACAATTTGCACAATATCATTAATTCTACAGTACTGTACTTTTAATTTAAACAGTTTCATTTTTTCGTTTTAAGCAATATACTTTTCGATTAATAAATGTGTCATTGAATCAATAACGGGAAATTCAATAGCATGGAGCTATTTGATTCAACAGCACTTTTTTTCAGTGTATTAAAATTCTTGTCGTTTCTTCATTAATTAAATCAAATAAGAGAAATAATTATTGAAAGTATTCCCAAGCTATTGGACGCAAGTCTAGGCTTAAAATAAATAAAATATAATTAAATTTAATTAAAATTTAATATCTAATTAAATTTAATAAAAGTATTATTGCGAACCATAATTTTGGGACGTAACATAAGCAAGGAGGAAATAACTTGCTTGCTTACTAGCTTACTTCCTTATTTGCATACTTACTTGCTTATTTCCTTCTTGCTTACTTTCTTACTTACTTATTTGCTTACTTTCTTATTTTCTTCCTCTTTACTTACTTCCCTATTTGCTTACTTGCTTACTTTCTTATATTATTTCATTCTTCCTTACTTGTTCATTTCCTTCTTGCTTACTTACTTATTTGTTTACTTTGCTTACTTTTTACCTACTTATTTGCTTACTTTCGTATTTCCTTCTTGCTTACTTACGTCCTTATTTGCTTACTTACTTGCTTATTTCCTATTTGCTTTTGAATACCTCACAATTATTATTTAATATTTCAGAAAGGTTAATTTGCTATTAATTAATTAAATAATTTCAAACTTGCACTGTTATTCAAAATATGTATATTTTTTAATTTTAACACACAAATTTGAGAATAATAAGGATTTTGATAAATTATTGTTTTTTTTATTTATTTGTTTATACACCTGTCTTCAGCCTTACATACTTGGCTATACAAGTGTTTTTACATTTTCGTAAATTTCTCTTACAAATTTTTCCCTAACAAACTTAATACTAAATTTTGCGCCTACAGAGCGACTTGAAAATTAGGAGTACTCGCATTTGCCTGGACCACCCGTCTAATGGGTTTTCTCGCCAGTGGAGAGGGAAACTGTAGAAAACCTCTCCTGAGTACAACCGGTTTATCCACAGTCGAGTTCTAATGGTGTGTACCGGACAATAAACGACGGTGCACATCATTATACCTCGACTCAGCTCAGATTGTCTAACGTGCCGGAAAAATACCAAGCCAAGTGGGCGCGAACCAAGGGTACTCACCCTTGGTCCTTAAACGACCGCCAAGCGAGGCATCTATCCGACTGAGCTAATCTGTCGGTTGATAAATTATTGTTTCATTCCATTAAATTCAAATTTTAACATTTTTCTTTATAACAATAAAAACCTAATTTAAAAATATTTCATAAATTGACCTTAATTATAGTTAGAAATAATTTATTAATATAGATAATTTTTAATTTTTTACAACGATAATTTATTAATATTGATTTGAATTTATCACTCGGTGATAGTTTATTAATTTGAATCTTTCTCACAAGCGGTGAAATAAAATTCAGATTAATATATAAGGACAGTTGAAACTTTCTGAAGCAATAATGTAAAGCGTGCGATGTATGTATTAGTGTATGCGTTTAGAACACTGATCTCTATATTAACTGGATGGGCGATTGCTGTAGAAAAGTGGCTTCCGGTGTGAAAATAATTGAAACCCTCTACGCCACGCTTTAGATGCCGGTGTAACAGCGTAGAGCGACTTTGATTGTGTGAGTTGCCGTGTGAGTATGCTTTTGATATAGTGTGTGTGTGTTTCCAATGTTTTGACATCTCAAGTGCTTTAATAATTTTAATTTAACTTTTGTGATATAAAACACAGACAAGGTGTTAATTTGTTTATATTGTGGAAAAAAAGAAGCAAAGGGTGTTTCTTTTCACATGAAAGTACATATTTAAACAGTAAATACATATTATTGAAGTGTATATTTTTAGGTTATATTTTGTTTCCTTTTTGCGTAGAATATTTTACACACTTTTGTTTATTATTAAACACATAATAGTCTAATGCTGAATAATTTTAGTTTCCTAAATTAAAAAAATCTGTCCGCGCAAGCGCGGACACATTCTCATCCGCGCTTCGCGCGGGGGCTCGCTTCGCTCGCAAGTTTCAGCGCGCCTCGGGGCGCGCGAATATTGATCGTCGCGCTTCGCGCTCCGGCGATTATTTCACACGTCGCGCTTCGCGCTCCGTGTGTTGTTGCGCGCTTCGCGCGCAAATGGCTCGCTTCGCTTGCGGCGGTCTGCAATTGTTGTGCATTATTTGTGTTCTTGTTCTTGTTTCCTATTATATGTTTCGTAAAACATTTTTTTTTCTTAAAGTTACTACGACTTTAAGGATTACATTCTCATCACATGTTTTTGTTTGCTGATGATTGCGAGATAAAGTGGATTTAAATGTATATTTTTGGTCTTGATGATTTAAATTGTGAAGTTATTTTTAATTATACTAACTCTTAGTAGAAATATTATTTGCAGAAGCAGATAAAATATTCTTAAAGTATTAGTATCAAGGTTTTTGTGTAGTGTAGACCGGAGCGTAATGGCTAACTTTTCACTCTTTGTTGATTTACACGGACATTTTTGTTTTAATTAAGTGTTTATCTCCTAGAAAAGTTACTCTAGTACCTCAGCTTTCTTTTAAAAAGTCGAACGTTCCTATATTACGCTTACTTTTTTTTCTACAATGAACGTACACTTCGTCGGTATCGTAGGTATTGCTCTTTCCCGTGTAGAAATTTGTCGTGGCCTTCCTAGAAATAGACTACAGCTAGATAGCATTTGTCGTGGAAAATTATTCTGAATAAACTGTCCTGGCCCCGAAATGTTAATGTACAGTTTTCCCCTTTATTTTCTTCGCTATGAAGACAGTCTAGAATCTGGCTAAAATTTGTCTAGGATACTGAATTGAAAATTCAGTACAAGTTCGTATAGCAGGTTGTCCAAGAATTAGCTGGGCACTGTCTAGGACGCTGACTTAAGAATTTAGTACAAGTTCGTAGAGAAGGTGGCTCTGAGAGTCTACTAAGCTAGCAGACGAAATCAGTTCTTGACGTAGTGCTTGATGAAAAGAAACCAAGAGTCTACAATTGTAACTTATCTTGTTGTGAAGATAAAATCAAATTTATAAATCTAGTGAAAAGTTTTCAGTTTTCCATTTTTGAACAGGGACAGTGTACAAGTTTAAATATATTACAGCGAAAAAAAGATTTATTAGAAAAAGGACATGTGATGTCATCATTAATAGTCTAGATTGTTTTTCATATTATAATGTTCATAATAAGTAATAAAACTTTGGTAATTTTAAGTAAATTTTTTGTGATTGCAACAATATAATATACAATTAATTTTATTATCGGTATACAAGTACGAATCTTTATAGTGAATGTGTTTGTGTTTTAAAGAAAAAATCCAATGTAGCAAAATATGTTACAATTAATTTCAAAAATAATTGTAAGAGGAATTGTGATAATAACAAATACTTTTGTATTACTGTTTTGTTTGTTTAAAAGTTAAACAAACAAAAGAGTAAAGTTGAAAAATATTGTTCTATTATTTATAAACCTAACAATTATTCCCAGTATGTAGAAACTGCTTATTTTAATATCCAGGAACTGGCTAGGAATGATTTATTTTACTAGACAAGGACTAGCGCGGTTTCTTGTGAGGTATGTGCTTCTCCATATCACCGTAAGTGTGCAACCCGTACCCGTGTTCTTCCCAGTGGTGGTTATGCTAAGTGTTGCCTTCCTAAGTCACCCACCATGATGTCACAAACTGACCCGAGCACCTCTAGTCAATCAGATTCTGTTTCTACAGCCATGACAAACGAAAGTGTCGAACGGATAATTAAAAGTGCAATACATGGCCTTCAAATTGGCCTTAATAAAGAAATAAATATTTTATCCACAAACATAAACAATCTATCAACCAAGGTTGATGCCGTTACTTTTAAGGTGGATGAAGTAATAAACAATGTTGCTGACCACTCTCAGAGGATAGCAGTAATAGAAGGTACACTTAAAGATCTCAACACAAGCACAATCTCCCAAAATTGCATGTCTGAGATTCACGACCGTCTTTCCCGGTCGTGTAATCTAATATTGTTTGGCCTCTCTTCTGACAACATTAGTCATGTTGACACATTAAATGTTGTCTCGAAACTGTTTTCAAATTTTTGTAAGCCGGACCTTCTTGCTGATTTACAAATATTTAGACTTGGTACCTTTGCGCAGACTCAGACTCGACCAAGACCTGTCAAAATAATTTGCCGTACTGTGGAAAGGGCAAAAGAAATTCACCAGTCATTTTTGGCAGCAAAAAAAAGCGACAAACACCGTCCTTCACTGGAAAATATGCGTCTCTCGTGGGATATGACGAAGATGCAGTTGAAGGAGATAGCTGTGCTGCAGCTGGAACTTCAAAATCGTCAACAGGCAGGAGAGACGGGGATTCAAATAGTGTATCGTCACGGTGTTCCCATGATAGTAAACACAGTTCGACGTCAAAAACGAAAGGACAGTGTGAGTGTCCCGTAGACACGGTATGTCGCTGTGTTGGTGCCGGCTTATCGCATCATGTCAATACACAGACTGTTTCTTTTTCTCATTTAGCCCATATTTTCGAATCAGCTGACTCTTAAGGCTTCAGTGTTTATTACCAAAATGTCAGAGGCTTGAGAAGTAAACTTGAACATCTCTGTCATTCCTTATCAATTATTTTATTTAACGTTTTTATTTTTACTGAGACGTGGTTGAATGAGTCTTTCAGTTCTTCCGAACTCGGGTTTTTAACTATAACATTTTTCGCATGGATAGGAATTCCAACACTAGTGGTTTTCTACGTGGCGGTGGTGTGTTAATTGCGTGTGAATCATCGTTAAGAACTTCAGTCATAGATACTGATAACATTTCTATTGAACATGTTTCTGTTAAATTTATTTATAAGTCTATTCTTTATATTATTGGCACTTTTTATATCCCGCCTAATTCGAACTTATCTATTTATCAATCTGCTTGCGACATTCTCGATAAAATATCTCTTTTATATACGACAGCGAAAATTATTATTTGTGGTGATTTTAACTTACCTTTTATTTCATGGCGCTTACATTCTGATAACGGACCTATTTGTTATTCTAAAGTGCAGTCTTCCCGTTCTTATAACCTGATTGCTAATCGAATTTTAGAAACTTTGGAATTTTCAAACCTCAAACAGGTAAATACGATTGTGAATGGCTCTGGTAACATTTTGGACTTGTTGTTTACTAACATTACAAATTTCAGATTAGAACTATCCATTGAAAATATACTTCCTGTCGATGCTTATCACCCACCTATGGTTTTTTCTGTTACTTTTGATACTGATCCGAATTTAAATATCAATAATAATAATAATCAGTCTCACTATAAGTACGATTTTGTTAGAACAAACTATGCAGATTTAAACACTTACCTTTCGAGCATAAATTGGAATGAAACTTTGAGTCATTTAAACATTGAGGATGCAGTTGCCATTTTCTATGAAATTTTAAATAATGCTTTCGACTTATTTGTTCCCGTAAAAACGTTCATGGCAACTGCTTATCCGTCATGGTTTAATAGCGAACTCAAACGTTTGGTTTCATTAAAAAAGGCAGCTCATGTTACCTTTAAACAAACTAAATCTCCTACTGATTACATAGTTTTTTCCCGTTTAAGAGCTGAGTGCAAAATTAAGTCTAAAATTTGTTATAAAAACTACATATCAAGTGTTGAAAATTCGATTATATCTAACCCTAAAGTTTTTTGGAAATTTGTAAACAATCTGCGAGCGAACTCTAGAATTCCTGGAGAAGTTTTTCACGGCACTAATTTGGCTAATAATAGTATTCACTCAGCAAATTGTTTTAAAAATTATTTTTTTTCTGTTTATACTACCTCCTCATCTGAGGTTTCCACCGCAACCTTGGATTATTATAATAATAATTTTATTAACGTTTCTGCTATTTCTAGAGAATCTATTTTTTTGAAACTAAAATCACTTGACATTAAAAAAGGGGCTGGGCCAGATGGGATACCCCCCTCTCTTTTGAGATCCTGCTGCTCTTCCTTCGTCGAGCCACTGTATATACTATTTAATTTGTCTCTTTCATGTGGTTTGTTTCCATCAGTATGGAAACGAGGGATAGTGATTCCTATACATAAAGATGGTAATAAAAGTAATGTCACTAACTATCGTCCAATAATTCTGCTAAGTACTATCTCGAAAATTTTTGAGAGTCTTATTTATGACGAGCTTTATTTTCAAATTAATCACTTGATTATCGACGAGCAGCACGGTTTCACAAGAGGTAGATCAATCTTAACTAACCTTACTATTTTTTCTAATTTTGCTTTGAATAATCTTCAATCGGGTTGTGCGGTGGATACTATTTATGCAGACTTCGCTAAGGCTTTTGATAAGGTCGACCACGGTATTCTTCTGGCGAAGCTTAGGGCCCTGGGCTTTTCTGATGGACTAATATTGTGGATAAAAAGTTATCTCACTGAACGTACTCTATCGGTGCGAATTAATTATGACTTTTCCGACATTTTTATAGCTACCTCAGGAGTTCCCCAAGGTTCAAATTTAGGTCCATTATTTTTCATAATTTTTATCAATGACATTAAAACGGTTTTTAAGCATTCATTTTTTCTTTTATTTGCAGACGATTTGAAAATTTATAAATCTATCTCATGCATTCAGGATCGACTGGATCTGCAATCTGATCTTGATTGTCTTTACAAATGGTC